AAGTGTCAAATTTGGGGCTTTAAGTCCTCCACGTTCTCTAACATCTTGAATAATCTTGAATTTAACACGAGCCTTCTTGCCTTCCCAAATAAAGCGATTCAAGTCTCTCTGCCATTCTTTCAAGTTAAGTTCATTTTTTAAAATAGGTATCATCTGGAACAAAAAAAGAAACTTAGGTAAAATGTTCATTTTGATGGCCCCTTCTCTTGTTCTCATACCCGTGTCCAGCATCACACTCCAAGTTAGGGAGCCTGCATTGACCACCAAGAAACTCTTTTTTAGATGGCAGGGCTAAACTCAGGATTTGTGAAATGACACAAGTGCAGAAATGTGTCAGAATAAGAGGAAATGCCACTGACCCAAGATTCACTGTTAAGAAAGTCCTATCATAGTCTTTAACACTTTCATTCTAACACAAGGAATTCAACAGATGTTAAAATAAGGTGCAATTTTGGAAAAAGGACAATGGATCAACTGCAGTGCTTGGTTAGGTTTATCTACTTTTATGACACCATTAGCTAAACCATGGCTTATTCCACCAACAATTGCCTTTGCACCATAAGCAAACCCTTAAAACAGTGTACAACCCAACAGCTGAGACTCATCACACACTCAACACAAAGCGCAGAAAAAAAACCTCCTTGGAACTGCTTACAAACCACCATCTAAACCACGACGCTGAACGATTTCAGGGGCTTGTAACCGATTCAACAGATCTATACATTTTGTCTTGGGGGGGTTAGAAGGGGAGGGGGCAGGAGGGCTGCAAAGGGCAGCATTAAAAGCAGAGCGGCCACAAAACCAGAAAACGGAGTGAAGAGAGCAGAAGCAACTTATCTGAAGGCGGCGGCTCGCCTCTTTTAGGACTAGCGGCTTATCTTAAAAGACAGAGAGCTTCCTGAGCAGCAGCTCCAAGGCACAGTGGCCAGGCTATCGTGGGACGCTGGGTGCGAGTCGTGCGTAAAACACACACACACACACACACACACACACACACACAGAGTCAGTCCTAAAAGAGGCGACCAGATGCCCTCGGAGGTGTCCCAGGCTGACAGCGATCTTCAACAAACAGCATCTCAGCACCTCGGAGTTGCCCCGGGAGGAAAGCGCGGCTGTCCAGATGTGGCGCCAACACAAGACAACATCCAGATATGCGCCACATCCCCGACCTTTCGGGCTGGGCAGCTGCCAGTTCGCACACAAATACACGCGCAAAACCCGCATCCCTTAGGATCCCAGGTGAAAGCCTGGGGCCGGTACCAAGGACCCCACCTGGCGATTTCCCCCGCCCCCCCCCCTTCCCCAGGCTTGGTCCCAAAGCCAGCTTTGAAGGTGGCCACGCTCGGGGCTCCCTGGGAGGAGGCGGGCGGGGGTTGCCAGGAGAAAAGAGCCCGCAGCGCTTCGGCTCCTCGGCCCCTGCCCGGCGAGCTCCAGGCCGCCGACCGATCACCTCCGGTAGACTGCGCCTATCCCTGGGGTCTCCACCTGCCCTCCGCTCGGCCGGGCGCAGCCCTTCTTCTCCCGCAGAGCGACAGCCCCGCGCTCTCGCCCTCCCTCCCGCCGGCAGCCGGAGTCCCGGGGGGGTCACCCCCACTCCCCCAGCCCTCCCTCCCCCCCCAGCAGCTCACCGAGAAGCCGGCCCAGAAGGGGCAGGAGTGGCGGACGCGGGCCGAGGTGGTGAGCGCCAGGGCGGCGAAGCTGACGGCCACGATCAGGCAGCCCAGCGCCATCTGCGAGGCGCCCAGCGCCAGCAGGACCCGCGAGCGGGCGCGGAGCTCGCGCAGGCGGGCC